GCCTCAATATTTCATTTCTTCTAGATGCAGCCATTCATCTCATGCTAAAAATGAATTGGAAATGCAAAAACCAGCAGCCGGTAGCTTTGATTTCCAGTCTTGCTCATCAAATCCCATTTCATGAGTCATCCCGTTGGCCAGTAATCCCAAATGGATCATAAAATGTAGTGGTTAATAAGAATTAGTGCCACAACCCACTAAATCCCACATGATCCATCTGTGTCTCACTATATTATCATGAAACATCATGAGACATTGTCTATTGTACTTTTTAGGCATGACAGCATTGAATACAGTTACGTGCCCTAGGCATTTGGTTTAAAATCAATAGTAAGAAGTCAGGAAAAGTCCCAAATGGGGGCATAGTTAATTGTTTTAACTATGCCCCCATTTGGGACTAGATATCTTAACATAGATATCTTTTGGTTTTGTTCAGGTTTTCTTTGTGTTTTGAGAACATTTTTGCCTAAAATTTATGTTCCTAAAACAGTGGGCAACATTTTTTGGTTGTAGTTATCACTAGCATTTGTTAACGCTGTTATTTCCATATTGCAAAAATAACTGCAAAAAAATCTACAGATTTTTTTTTTTACATTAGAACCATTTATTAGAATATTTTACTGAATGTTCTGTTCTTTACAGAACAGCAGCATTTCTTGAAAAATGTGAATAAAGGTGATTAAAAACAGAATTTGTCTCTCTTCGCATCAGCTACTGTAAGAAACCCAGAAATAGTGCTGCAAGTTTTACATGTAAGTCATTTTACATGTAAGCAATCCCTACATAAACAAAGAGGACTGTTTAAAAGATACGCACGCTTCTAATAACAGAGTGGTGCCTAACCGCTTGTCAGTAGCCTTGATTTACAGATGATAATAGAGTCTAGAGAAACAGAGCCATGACCACAGAATCAGCCTCTCCATTTAAGTAACAGAAGCATGTTCCAAATAAAAGTTGGTCATTTTTCTAGAAAATAAACCACAGAGTCATGATGAGATGACGCTTTCTGCACCAAATCCAAGAATCATTGTGAACCCATGACATCTAGGAGTAAGCAACACTGACAATGGAATAAACATTTACATTATTTCCTTGTTTCACAGCATGTGTATTACATTTCATATTTTAAAAAATAATTATACACACACACACACATACATATATATGTGTGTGTGTCAAATTGATACCCAAAGATTGTTAACTATATTCACACACCAAAGGTCCTACTGAACTTCAACACAAAGTCTACTGAAGTTTAAAAGGTGTGCCAATATTACATGGGAACATTTGAAGTGGTTGCGTAAGTGGACAAAAAGCTTAGTCATGAACAGTAATTTCTGATGCAAAACAGTGTGCTTAACTCTTATTTGAAGTGCCATCTGAGTGCCCATAAAGGACTTCACCAGTCCCACCATCCACCCATCGGATACTCCGGAGCTATAAACTTAAACCACTAAAGTCATATAAAAAATGTAATATCATTTATCTTGGCATAGTGTTTCCACAAAATTGTCATTAGACAAAAGATGAAGGCACAAAGCACCTACATTTTGACCCCCATCAGAAATTCATATTCTCTGAAAATGTTTACTGTAAACACCAACAGTCATACTCTCCACCTTCTCATGGTGAACGGATGATAGACAATAACACTTATCACATGTTCAATACTAGTCTTTTTGAAATGTGAATTTAATCCTCCTGTTTCCTAAAAAAGTGACAAAAGAGCTGCTGACAATTTTCCACACTTTGCCCATTGTGTGAGATTTAATCATAAAAAAAAAGTTTATGGTAACTTTAAACAAAAAAGTATCAAACTAGAAAATGAGCATAATTGCATAATTAAACAAACTAGAAAATGAGCATAATTGTTTATGTGTGTGTGTGTGTGTGTATAGTAACCCCAGATCATGATCGTATTTAGAATATAGTAAATTTTCTCAACATACATTTTTGCATCATATAAGAAGATAACAGCCACCCAGCTGTTCTATTCTCAAATACTCAATGCTGTATGACTGTATGAGACATAAATAACTCTCTCTTCTGCTATGTCACCATCCCCCCTTTTTTCTGGTGTACTATAGCCTTCTGTAGGAGCACCAGCTCACTCAGTCCTCTTTCTCCCTGCAGCACTGCCCTCCATCCCCCCACAAAAACACACTCTGTATCCAAGGTAGACGGAGTCCCCTATCCAGCAGACCTGACCACATTCACTCTAGTCAATGTATGTTCTACCTGGATATAAACACAGCCAAATATGACTGGTAAAGGCATGACGTCATCCACCACACAACAATAATAAATCATTGTCTTCGTTTCAGATAGCATGCTTGTGTCGCTATGCCTTACTGATTACCATTTACACATCTACACTGAGGCCATCTGGCTACATTCACCGCTCAGTGAATTCCATACATACACAAGTGAGCATGTGCACAAGACAAACCGAACAGGTGAGCTGTACATTACGCAGCATATTCTCACGACAACAATAGCAAGAGACAACAATGAGATCATCAAGAAACTCCCCCTCCTCTCCTTTCCTCTCTCCTTTTCTGTCCTCACTCACATGCTCTCGGGACGCTCCTGAAACAGACAGGGAACCTGTCCTTGCTCGGTGGACTCCACTGCTCCCATTCTCGGCTAATTTCACCTCCACCTGCTCCCTTCCACCGTCCTCCTCCTGCACCTCCTGCTTCTCCACCTTCCCCCTCCTCCAGACGGTGGGTGACGGGGAAGGGGAGCGCAGAGTCGGCTTGTCGCTATCAAGTGAACCAGGATAAGATGGCATCGGGGTAGGCTGCTTGCCCACACTCAGCATCTACCCATCAGAGAGTCTCCCGATTCCTCTATCCAATAATCCGTTTCTCACATGCTGTCTTTACATGGTAGAGGGAGGAGGCTGAGGCTTGCTTGTATCCGTGACAACAGCAGAGCTTCAAGGTTGAAAGAGCAAAACAGTGTGCAAAGATATTAAATAAAAGATGGAGAGAATAAGAGAGAGAGGAGGAAGGAGGATGATGCTACTTCACACTAGTACCTCCCCTCTCTGAAGCACTGGACCATTCAGCGAAGCTAATGTTGGTTATCTTCCTCCCCCCTCTCTGTGTCTCTCTCTGTCTCTCTCTGTCTCTGTCTCTCTCTCTCTTGGGGCTAGTTAGGTATAAACAATCAAGCAGCTTTTCCCTGTCTATCAGCCCTCTGGTGCCCTATCTGCAAATGGAACGAAAACAATAGAGCACCCCACACAAAGCTATGTAACACATCCCCCACCACGTCCTCATTCTCTCATTCTCTCGATCCAAAGCACAATTGCACCTGACATTTAAAATTAAACACAACATAATCTCCTTTTCACTGCTTCTTTCTGTACACATTTTTTTTTTCATGAGTTATAAGGAAGCTGCTGGTGAGTTTTCATGGGGAAAATGGAAACTTCCAATAGGAGTGGACAGGCAACTGAAAACAAAAAGGAGTTGAACAATAGACCCTGAGAAAGATCCCTTTCTATGTTTGTGTGTGTTTTAGTTTATTCATGAAGACTGACCCGATTTCAGTTTCTAATTGTTTTAAGTACTAAAGCACTAACAGCACTTTCATTACTTATATTGTCTGATCATCTATGACACAGATAATGCCAAAATCAATAAATCCTGATAGGAACATCACTTACAGATGACTTTTCCAGAGAATAAAATGACTTTCTATCCTTTTAAAGGTTCTGAAATCTCCTGCTTGTTCAAGACAACACAATGAAAGATAGGCTTACCAATTCAAGAGCTTGTGCTAACTGCCATCACCAAATTAATTCTGCCAGTCCTGAAGGAGACAGGCTATATTACAGATCTAAATAACTTGAACTCATACCAAAATGAAACATGGGACCTAAAAATTTTACTGCATAAGATTGGAAATAGAGAAAGCAGAAGAATGAATAAGAAGGTAAAGAAAGATACAGTATAACTGCCTACAGGGCAGACAGTGGACCCCTCGCCAGTCTACGCAGTCCACACAATTCATATTGATTTACAGTGTGATGGAGCAGTGGATATGGGAAACTGGGAGGCTGAAGGGATTTGAAGCATGAGGATTATAAATCTATTGTCTGCTCATGGGAAAGCAGAACAAAGAACTTCTCACACAAGCCCAGCTCTACCTATTGCATTTTCGGACTGGGAGTCTTTACTAACTCTGGGGAGAGACAGAGCCTTCGTGCTCTGCTATGTTCAACCGTAATTCAAATCTTTTGAACCTGATCTAACAAAGTAAACATATGTCACAAATCTCTCATGCCTCATATACTGAATAGTAATCACACTAATTTGTGGCTCTGGTGTGTTAAATGAAGCATCATGGCAATTGAATGTGCACTTACTTCCTACTCTATTTGCTGATGTCTTTCCCATAGATCTAAATGCGGATCAATTTCATCGCTGGTCCTGTTGAAACCCAGCCAGTTTTACAGTCTTTGTAACTGAAGCTCCTGCATCCATGCCCCAATAATGAAACCTCTTTCAAAGTCATCTATATCTTTTCCTCTTGCTATTTACACAAAATTTAGGTCAACTGGGCTTGTTCGGCATTAAATGTTTTTTCCTTTGATTTGTCACCTTTTAAATCATAATGAGACCCAGCTGAAAATAATATTAATAAGCTAATAATGTTAATAATTTCTATAAATATATACAGTTACATACACATACATGGTTAAATGGTAGTTCATGGCTCTGATGTGTAAAATGAAGTGTTTGGTGGTACCCATTGCTGTGCCATGATCACATAGCTTCTGGTAAAACACACAAGTAAATGGAAAGTTCAGCACACCAAATAAGGTACAAAATAATATGCATATAAATATCTTTTGTTGTCAAAACACATTTACATTTATGGCATTTGGCAGACACCCTTATCCAGAGTGACTTACATTTATCTCATTTTTTATACAACTGAGCAGTTGAGGGTTAAGGGCCTTGCTCAAGAGTGCCCAACAGTGGCAGCGTGGTGGTGCTGGGGATTGAACCCTACCTTCCGATCACTAGTCCAACGTCTTAACCACTGAGCTACCACTGCCCTGGTAAAATAAAGAATACATTAATGTGTAGACTGGTATACAGGTTTCTCATCAAGCATGAGCTAAACCCAGTAATGTGGCACTTCCCTTTCCTGCTGTTGTACCTACCTTTCCCAAGAGCAACCTGATCTACCATGAAGAAATTCAATTAAACTTATTTAGGGCTTCAAAGCACCTTGGCGTAGATTCCACAAGTTTCTGGATCTGAACTGAAGTGATGAACACCATTCTTCCACAAGCTATTCTCTCAGTTGGAGTTTTGATGGTGGTTTTGATGGTGGTTTTCAACTGGGTTCAGATCCAATAACTATGAAGGCCATAGCATATGATTTACAACATTTTCATACTCAAACCATTCAGTGAGCACTCATGCCCTGTGGATGAGGACATTGTCATCCTGGAAGAGACCAGGATAGATATGTTTCATCATAGAAAAAAAGACGATCAGTCACATTAACATTGAAATGATTTGCTGATTTGCAGTGACCCATCGCTCAAAATCATATCAGCAAAATGCCTCCACAGCCTACAGGAGCCCCTGTTTCCCCTCACTCTATATTCAGGTATTCAGGCTTGTTCCGTTATCTTGGTGTTCACCAAACTTGCACTCGCCCACTTGTTGAGAAGATGGTGAAGGATGACTCATCTGACCAGATTTTTTCACATCTTTGTAGACCAGTGATTATGGTTTTTGAACCACTGAGCTCTCAAATGTGCATTTGTCTCAGTTATGAGGGGTTTATAAACAGCAACCTTACTATAAATCCATGTCTACGTACTTGTTGAAATACTGTTTTGCTGCCAGTTTGACCATGTCAGTTGCTCTTCCGCTTTTCCTTACATAATCACACTAATGTATGAGCATCACAGTCACTGAATGCATGCTTTTGACCACAATTTCCAGCTCTTTTCTATAGATCTAAATGCGGATTACTTTAGACACTGTTCATATTGAAACATAGCCAATTAAGCAGTGTTTGTGACTGAAGCTCCTGCCATCCATGCCTCAATGATGAACCCACTTAAATCTTGACCCACAACCAAGGTCAACTTGTCCTGCTCAGAATTAATTTATCCCCCATCTGTGTCCTAACCCTAGAGATCTCTAAACTGAAAACACCATTATCTTTTGCAGCCAATCATAAAGTCATCTCATAAGCTAATACGCTAATCGCAATACGCTAATAATTAAGTTGAAGCTTATAGAGAAAAGAATAGCTTATCCAATGTTAATTCAATGATGTCTACTGTAGCTGGAATGCACCAATAAAGAACACAGATGCTGCTGCTGCAGTCTCTCAAAGAAGCTCAGAAAGGGAGGGAGAAACAGTGAGCCTTCACATATGCTGTAACTGCAGACTACTTTTCTGTATCCAGAGGAAATGGAGCAATTAAAGTTTAAAGCAATGCAGCCAACAACTGCACAACTGCAGCAGAACCATTCTACTCTACCTGTCCAATTTTTTACACGCAAACTGAAAGCAACATACTCGTGTGATAGAGTAGGTGATAAGCCTAGGATTACAGCAGACTTAGTGATATAATTTATAGAAGCAATGGCTGAAAAGGCTGACATTGAAGTAAGCTTTCCTGTTTCACTAAGAAAGCTCATTCATCTGTGTCTTTCTTGTGTGAGGGCTGTGAAACATTAATGTCAGTAGAAATGTCTGAATGCCTGATATATGAACAAACAGTGACTTCAGTTAATTTATTGCAGACATCTGAAAGCATTCCAAAGACAAATAAAAAAACAAACTTGCGAAGCAGATTTTTTGTTGTTGTTTGTGTATTTGCTTGTTTCTCTCTTTTCTCTTCAGTTTTCTCTCATGTGTTTTCAGCTAATTGAAGCGTTTTATAGATAAAAAAAAAAAAAGTTTGATAGATAATAAGCTAATATGACAAGCAAATTGAGATTCCAAAATGAGATTATTGAAATTCCACTCTCTGACTAGCTAGCTGAAGTAGCCCTAATGTACAGTTTTATTATCAGTGTCAGTAATGTCAGTAAATACAATAAAATAATTCAACTTACTGTTCTGATACATAAGCTAATCCCGGTATTTAAAAACTGTGAGTCAGTCTGAGGTTCATACAGGCATTGCTGCATACATTCCTGAATGTTGCCTCTTTGCAATAGTGCAGTATAGCATAAGCAATAGTATAGTGAGTTTGGATGGTGAGAGGACATGGGGACATTCCACCTTGTACATTCATAGTCATAGGTCTTTGCATTCTTAATGGGTAAAGATGATAAAATGCTTATCATTTTAGGCAATTTTAGTAGTTTCTTGGGTACGAAAAAACATGCTGGAAAACATGCTATGCAAAACCATATTCAATTACTCGAATGGTTAAATTTAATTTACTATTTTGATTCTGCTTTCAAAGGTAAATATTTGTGTTTTATTATATTTAATGGCACTTTATGCTGAAACAAATGTGTATCGTCATGGCCAAAATGCGTAAGTTCTGTATAGTCAGTATGTATATTGAAAGCAGGGCCACAGGGCACTGATGAATTAATATGAGGCAGGGTTTTATGAAATATACCATTAGGCAAATGCCTAATTAATATTGTAATCAGTTCTGTTGCATATATATTGTATGCAACAAATATGTATGTTTTGTATATCTGATGTTGTGTCATATTTTTTTACGTGATAAATATGTACAACATTTTAATCACACATCATAACCTACAAAATATTTTTCACAGTTCCTAACTGTATGAAATATGTGTATTATGCACCATCCTGAATATATATATATATATATATATATATATATATATATATATATATATATATATATATATAAACTATGCAGATTTCCCATAAAGAGCATTAATTTCAGCCTTAATTAATTTCAGCAACTTAAATGATAGTCATCATATATTGTAGATTTAGCTGCTTCTATATGCATTCACTCACTACATACTGTAGTGGGCAGCAGTGTGTAGATGGAGCCAGGCGGTGCTACTGAGTGCAGCACACTAAACCTCTACATCAGAAAAGGAATGTGCACGCTATTCACACGTTCTGTCAACGTGGCTGAGTCATCCTGTCCTTTATCCAAACAAAGCAGTGCTAGTGAAATGCTTCATCTGTGGCCGATGCTACATTATAGCTCAAACACATTTGTGTGAGCAAACATATGACAGAAAACATCAGAGCAGCATATATTTTCAATTCATAGGATGCAGATGCATTACTGTGCTGCCATTTTTATGAGAATCAGCGGGGGAAGAATGCTGAGGTAGCATCAACCAGCTCAGTATATCTCAGCACGTCACATTATGGCTTCAGTAAAAGCTGCCATTATTATTCACCTGCAAGGAAAATCTGCATTAAACAGCTAAAAGTGAATGATGTCTCTCTTGGCGGCAACAGGACTAGGACTCACACAAACAACAGAGCGGCCACCTATGCAAGTGTTGCATTTATTAATACAGGCAGCCAGAGAGCACAGAAAACATTAGCGGTGAATCAGCACTCTTAGGACTGTGCTGCCTCCATCACCATCTACATGAAGAAGAGGAAACTTATTTGTGGCTTACCAGATTACCTTTCAACCTAAAGTCATTTTGAAAAACTATTTTGAGGTCTTAACCAATAGCTGTACTCTCACTGTAACTGTTGAATAAGAGATGGAAGAGCAGTGTACCTGGCTGGAAGACCTGGCTGCTGGCCGTGCTGGAGCTGAGGTAGGACTACTGCCGCGTTTGGGACCGGATCCGGGTCAGAGGGAGAAACAGGAGGTGCAGACTCAGGTTCGGGGTCTAGAGGAGCGCTCTCTGGGGGTGTGGGTGGCGGGGTGGGGAATTCAGCGCTGTCACAAAACAGGTGAGCAGGGAGAGCAGGCGGCAATGTGTCCTCCTCTGGTGGTGGGGGGAAGGAAAGGACAGACTCACTCCCATCAGCTGAGTCTGACAGCAGTGGCCTGGACAACACACAAATACAAAAAGGGGTAAGGAGACCTTGACAGAAAAATACATTGTTCACTTTGTTCATTGTTCCCACTTACCATCCAGTTTATTTGGAACACCTATAACCCCTGCTCACCCTTGCAATTATTCAATCACGTGGCTTTAGCTAGTGTTCACATCAAAGTGGGGAAAAAGACCAGGTTTCTCAGGTTTTGGTAGACCTGTGCCCACTTATCAATAA